TAATACTGAAGTATAGATAATACAACATTTTCTTGATTTAACTTAAACATCACCGACTTACAGATAACCCAATTTTCGTATGGATGTAAACAAAATTGTACTATGGACATATGCTTTGATGTAAACAAAATTTCATTGTAAACTTGAACAAGTTCAGATGATTGACAGCAGAATTCACAAACTCTGCAATTTTAAAAGTTAATATGACGAGGTTATATGCTTTCACGGGATATCATCTAAACGGAATAATACCTCCAATTTGGAGTTATTATTTTCTTTTAGCGGCAACTGAAAATGTAGCTGACTGAATACTAATAACAAATTATTATTTATTTCAGGATTTTAAGGCAAAATGTTAAGAATTATTTGAAGTTTAGAATTTTAATTTTTGGTTTACGTAAATGTTGAACAAGTGAGTATATTTTTATACTCTGTGGTAGAACATTATATTCAGGTTATTTCACTTCCAATGGAATATCTTTTTCCTTTTTTTTAACTTTTGTTAAAATACTACTCCTATAATGAATATTGCTAGATTGGTTTTGTGAACTTAAAAATGAACATCGTGTGCGAAATACTAAGACAGATATTCAAGGTAATTTTCAAACAATGGGTATAAAAACGAGAATGCTTATGCTTTGAATCTTGAAAGAACACTTCAGGACTTTTAAATGGTAACATTATCCTTATTGCTATAACTAGGTCAAAGAAACGAACAATTTCGTAACCAACTTGACCTCCCAAAAAATGTACTTTGTGTACTTGAATAGAAATTGATAGTGAGTTAATAAGCAATTAGTTAGATTTTATAGCCTATTATTTGTATTAGAATACCGCACTGTTTTGTTTAAGCTTCAGTTGAATGTAAAAACCTTATTTGTTTACTTAACAGTTTACATAAAACTTAGTGTTTTAAAAAGTAAAATTCGTCTCTTGAACTTGGCCACCTCTGTGACTGGTAAGATTAGAAAAAGTTAACAAACACTTGACTTGAATAGACAAGCTCCTCCCCCACGGGACATCGCTGCTGTAGGCTCCGCCCCCATTTTTTGCCCCTGCTCATTAGGACCTTTGGTCAATCTGTATGTTAGAAACGACCCTTAAACCATTGGCCAATCTGTATGTGGCCGCTAATTTTAACCAACTAGCAACAAAAAGTTGTGGTACACAATGAGAACTTAACTTTTTTTTCATGGTTTAGGTGCAGTGGTAGAAAATTAGGGCTATGGTAGATACTGTAGGACACTATAGGATACCGTATAAATTAAAAGACAAAATTTTCTTAAACCGTGTCCTCTCCCATAACTACAATAAGCATTTATACTTATATGCCAACCCCGTACGAAGGACGGGTACTCTGCTAGTTGTATAGATAAAACATTTTAAACAATTTGGTAACACAACATTTACAATTTTCTACAATCCCTTTAATGTGTTTTATTTTATTGTTAATAGTCACGCAATAAACAATTAATTAACAAAAATCAATGATTCAAGAGAGGATTATGTAATTTTAAACCATTAAATATTTATTTAATCAGTTTACCAAAATACATTTATTTGGGTTTTGTGAAAACATAAGTTATTTTAAGTAAAATATTCATCCAGAACAATTGTCGTAAAAGGTCATAGCTTCAAAGACGACTTATTTACAAGAGTTGACGATTTCGTAAATAGAGCTCTTGTTCCTTTTTAGTAACAATCGAAAATGTTTGTAATCATTACTGAGAATGGAATTTATGTTGAATTTGATCATCCATTGAATACAACCTAGAGCATTTATTTGGGTTAGTGAGTCGGTGGCTCAGTCGGTAGCGTCGCGGACTTCGGGCCCAAGGCAGCGATGTCGTGGGTTCGGATTCTGGTCACTGCCGATAACATTTTATCAGTACAGTTCACCTTTGTACTGTACTGGCTCACTCCTTGCTTTGCTGTAGCAGACCCGCAGGCCATAAAACCGATAAGACCCTATTCAGCCCGGTCCTCGCCACCGAACCCTATTATGCCGCTTCGCTGGGCGCGTGACTCACTGCATCGGCAGTACAGTACGCCAACGTGAAAATCTTTATTTTTTTAACTACGTGAAAAATAATGTGATATTCTTGTTCGTCTTAAAATTCTGACAAAATTGATATAAAACTGAAATAAATCGGCTTATTTAATAGTTAATAAATTAATGATAAGTTATGTCATGTAATAACACAGACATTGTATGTTATACATTATGATATAGTATTGGTAAGTTATTCAAAACTTGTCTGATAGAACATAGTTCATAATTATACATGATTAAACTATCTGTTTTACTACTAATCATCAATAATAATTATCCACTTCAATTTGTTTGCAAGTATTTTCAAATTATATGAAAATTACGAACATAATACTATCAGATCTTTAAGAGTGACTCACAGTTGTTTGTCTCTTAACACGCAAAATTGACGTGCGTCTCCCTCATTCCTCGATGACGCGTTTCGTTTCTACCAATTGGTGATTTGTTCGGCGTTATTAGCGATGAGTAACGCGTTCGTCGAGCGTTCAGATTATGTTGCACTTTACCCTGGCGTTTGTTTTCCTTATCGCCACTGTATGAGATATCGGTCAGTTGCTGTTGGTTTCTGTTGCGAATACGTTTATCTATGGCAGAGCAGCAGTTATTGTCTCCCCGGAAGTACAGTAGGCCTACCCCCTTTTTTCAAGTAAAGTGGACTCTTAAATAAATTGTTTTGTTATTTTTTTTACAATAATCAAAATTTATTTCCTTGATTTCGAGCAACGGGTTTACTATTAATTAATTGTAAATTAATTAAAATAATTATTATTATAGGATCTAAGCATTTATAAGTAGCAAGTTTTCTTTTGACCTTTAAATAAACGGAAAGCATTATCAGGAATGAAGTATCCGCGCGTTTATTGTTTTTTATGTTAAAAGACAGAGATTTTCTTTTTAGTAATGACCCCCCTTGACTGCTTTTTGACCTACTTTTTATACTATATCATAATTTATAACATACAATGTCTGTGTTATTACATGACATAACTTATCATTAATTTATTAACTATTAAATAAGCCGATTTATTTTAGTTTTATATCAATTTTGTCAGAATTTTAAGACGAACAAGAATATCACATTATTTTTCACGTAGTTAAAAAAATAAAGATTTTCACGTTGGCGTACTGTACTGCCGATGCAGTGAGTCACGCGCCCAGCGAAGCGGCATAATAGGGTTCGGTGGCGAGGACCGGGCTGAATAGGGTCTTATCGGTTTTATGGCCTGCGGGTCTGCCCAGCGTTAACCTGGCCCCGACTATAGTCTATGTGGACGGGCAGATGCAAGGTTAAAAGAGGCCGCCAACCTCTTTTTAAAAAAAAAAAAAAAAAAAAAAAATTTACTTACAACTGTAAAACTACCTTACTAATGTCAACAAATAGACCACAGAAACATGATTAATTTATTCAATGTGCTACATACCTCATAACCCATTTTCAAAGTGGTCGAATTTTATTTTTATTTTGATAAAGAATGCTTAAGTAAATCATTCTTGCGAAAAAGTTACTTACGGACTTTCGGATCATAGACTCAGTACAGTGTAAACAAAGACTTTAGCTTGTAAAAAACAATACAGTATTTTTTTTTTATAAATATATTTTTTAAGTGGACAGATTGCGGGTTTTTGTGGCCTATAGTTAACTCAATTGTCAGAGTAGTGAACAACAACATTTATAGATTATTTGTTTTTATAGGGGTTAAAAATTTTACTAAAAACGTGGTTGACGTATTTGGCAAGTATATTAAATACATTCAATAAATTTAACCACATTATATTGTCCTTAAAATATATTTTACCCACTATGTATAAATCATAGGCTACACACATACATGTAAACACATGAAATATTTATTATAAACTCAATTTAGGTTATATATTTGAAATTCAATATACCATTAAACCAGTTAAATTCCAAAACTTTTTCTATGGAACTGGTGGTCTTAAAAAATCACACACATTGTAACCACAAGTATATGTCATATTTTACCTAACTATATAGAACACACAAAAGAATTATGTTAATAAATTCAATCCGATGTTAAAATACAGAGAATAAATCTATTTAAGTACCATTAAATATGGTACCATGTCGTATGGTACTGTTGCATAAATATAACCAATCAGCTCATGAGCTACAGTTTTTGCTGGTATATACAATATACATCAATAGAGTATCATTTAAAAAGGATGGTAACCTTTATTAAAAAGGTTGTCCAAACCCTCTATATATTTGTGAATGTGTTATTGAAGCCACCTGATGTCCAAGCTGTTGGGGAGCGAGCTGGTCAAGTGGTTAGAGCGCGAGACTTCGGTTCCCGAGGTGCTGGGTTCAAATCCCGCCAAATCACCAATGGATTTTATCTAAGTGATAATGCCGCAACCCCTAGGTTTAGTCTGAAGTAATGTGAAAAACAATGCTCTTACACAACACTCTTGCCTAGCGTCTTAGGACAAAAAAGGTGTTAACGACATACTTAAAACAGATACAATAGCTATTTACCTTACAAATGTAGTAAGAGCGTTTTTACATCACGCAGGCCACTCGTTGCATGATGTAAACACGCTCTTGAATAACGTACAAGATTTTACCTGACCCGACAATATACAGGAGGTTACGAACAAAATTTTTATTGTCCATTTCACTCATCTTCTAACAGTAACGTTCATTTACAAACAAAAGCCAGGTAGGAAAATTCTTCAAAACATAAGAATAAAATTCAAGCGCACAGCTGATTTCTAGCGTTGAACGTCGTTGGCTCCATAGAGATATATTTTTTAAGTTAATCACTCAATGTTATTTAAATGGGTTTCATTACTTCACCGAGTGAGTTTTTTTCAACTTTACATCACTCGAGAAGTAAAGAAGTTGTATACATCACGCTTGGGATAAGGAAGTTTAACATGGTGGGTTAGGTAAATATTCTAACACTATATTGTATTGTTTCAGTCAGTCAATGAACTCTATGACCTAGCTGACGAGATTCTCGGCCCAGTGGTTCACCATCATAGACGAAAGAAGCCTCAAGGCTAATTAAAATGTCAGATGATTCATTCCTTAGTTATCAAAAAATATTCTTTAATTCAAAGGAGGAAGATCTTAGTACCTTCATGTGCTTCATCCTGAAATGGCTGTAAAATAAACACTGATAAAACATTTTCAAAAGGTTTTGCGTAATAGTTATTACCTGTCTTTTGTTTTTATCAGATTAATGTTTTTCACCGGAAGATATTAATGTTACAAAAATAATTTATTTCTTAAATAACTTACAATTAAAAAAAATACCAGTTGTAACAATTTCATGAAAGTTTTAGAAATATTAAAATAAATTTAAAACCATTTTGTATTTCAATAGATATGGACAAAATTTAAATATTTTCTCTACAGTGTTTTAAGTGAGGGACTAGGCAAAGTAAGCGATGTGATTTGAGATGTCAGACCTTTACGCAGTATCGCATGTCTTTACTCAGTTGTATTTGTCATCAGGGAACTAACTAATGGTCCATGCGGCCAAATATAATTTAGAATGGCCAAATAAATCATTCTGCGTAACAACAAATATTTTTAGTTTATTATTTTTGTTCTTCAAGTTATTTTTGTATTACTATTTATATCATTTGCTTATTGTTCAACTTGAACAGATTGTAGATTAAATAAAGTAAAAAAAAAATATATTTTATTTTTATTAGACATTTCTGATTGGTCCAGGATTAAAAAATATTCATAAGTGTAAGTGTAAATTATACCTTGTGTATTTTTTATTTTCTGATTAGTATAAGCATTGACTTTATAATAAAGTCAATGGTATAAGTCTAAATTTTAATATTTTCATCCATTAACAACTGAATTTAATGTTTAATATTGTTAGTCACAATGGACAAGAGAAATTGAGTGTCAAACAAAAACATGATTATTTTTTATAGTTTTTTTTTTTAATTAATTACTAACAGTAACTTAAAGGTAGAATAATTATATTGTCAACTATAAAAATTTTTAAATACAACAGCTCTGCTGAAATGTATGTTTCCTATCGAAACAGGTAGTAGAATAGATAAAAAATACCTTCATAATAAAGATTAACTCAAATAAAAATTCTAACTTTAATTGGCCAAAATCCTATCTTTACATAACTTAAACCAAATTGCATGTAAATGTTTGAGAGTAGTTAACGATTTTAACCACTATTTTAATCTTATTTTAGAATCAAGTTGAAAAAATACTATATGAAACTTTATCACCCAAAGAAGGCCTATTGTACTATATGTGTATTAGCTAACTGACAAATGTTTACTTTTAACCCCAATGCAACAAAGGTAACCAAATAAAACTATCCTGGACCTAGGAAGGCAGTTTCAAGTAACTATATAACGAGTCTCTTCATCAGGCGATGTCCTAGTGACTGTCAGGGTAACTAATGACATTGTAACTAATGGCATTGTAACTAAATAACTCTGTAACTAAGCCACCGTCGGTCACTGACCCCGCTGTTACTAAATCCTTCCTAGGCAATGTAGACTATTTATGTACATTGTCTGTCTACATCGATCCTAATGCAATGCAATGTATTGTGGTAGACTGACAAATGCACCTGGATGTAGTGGGGTTTGTTCACAGTATGGGTTTCCTTAATATTTCGTCATTTATACCATTTCAGTATTTGTTAGAGGACAAATGACATTTAATATTTAAGCTGTTAAATAAAGCTACATAAAGTTAAACAGATTTGTGACTTTCCTCATTCAAGAAAATCACGAGTTCAGTATGAAATTAGAATGATTTTGCATCAAAGGAAATATCGAGTTATTTTTTTTTTATTTGCATGTTGTACAGTATCATATAAAACTTCTGTTCAAACGCATTTCTTTGTATGAAGGTAAGCTATTGCCAAAGCTGTCTTAGTATATCTTGACTGATAGGTTAAAACTTACAGTTAAATTTTAAATAATATTTTTAATCATGTATGTCTTCATACCATTGTTTCATGGGTGCATCAGTACTAATTTTTATCATGCTAGGTAGCCTAAATAAGTGTTCAGAGTTTTTTTAAAACCTACTGTCAAGTTAATTAGTACAGTCCGATTTCGTTTCTAAATTAAATGGTAGATGTAAAACCATTTTAAAGGAATTTTCAAAGAACAAACATTGTTTCTTTTACATACTGTCCCAGTTGCAAGACATTGGATAGCAGCTAGTTTTTAATAAACAAATAATAATTTGTTAAGTTTTGTGACAGTCACTTGAACCTACACCATCAATTTAATAATGAACGAATCTATTATTCTTCATACCAATTTTTCATTATTGTGAGAATTGTAATATATTGGAATCAGCTGATAATTTGGTTTTATGTTTATTATGAAAATGTAAACAAACAATGTTATATTTTGTTCTATGATTAAATGAGTTTAAGTTAGTTCTTGATTTTATTTCACTGGCGACGATGAGTAAAAAACGAACCCAAAGATGTGAAGATATTGGTTGGAACAATAAAGAAGAGGTGCGAAAGAGAATGGAAAAGTTTTCAATAGAACCCTATGATGAAATATTGAACTGGGAGGATTATGAAGCTCACTTCCAATTGATGTGCAAGGTAAAGGGATTGGGTGATGACAGTGATGAAACTGAGGAGGCCAGAAGGGATCTTCTTCTAGCATATGTTGGACCTGTACCCCTCAAAAAGGTATCTAACTTCGTTTTACCTAGGCAAATTTATGACATACCAATGACTGAACTGCTTGATACATTTCGGTGTGTTTATAAACCTAGTAAAACAATCTTTGCAGCGAGACTAGACTTTGAAAAATGTGTGAGAGGAAATGATGAGAGTTTTTCAAATTTCGTCTTACGTTTAAAAGAGTTAGCCTCCTACTGTAAATACGACAGGTATTTTGAGGAAAGAGTAAGGGATAGATTTGCTGGTGGCGTTAACTTTCCACAGTTTGAAGTTGAAATCAGGCAAAGGTGGCCAGAAGGCATAAATAAAGATGGTTCACGTTTAACTTTAAATGAGTTGGTAGATTTAGCTGAAGCGATGGATAGAGCTAAGCGGGAAATGAATATTTTAGATGAAGCTATGCCTGTAATTAACAAGGTACATAGCTATGATAAGAAAAATAGATATTCCGCAAAAGAAACATACAGCCATTCTACAGAAGATTGTAATCAGTGTGGACTAGTACACAGTGGAGAATTTTGTCCAGCTCAAAAGTCTAAGTGTTTTTCATGTGGAAGGCAAGGTCATTTCTCACGACAATGTGGAATCAAAAAGACAAAACAATGTCACTTCTGTGGAAAAATGGGTCATTTTCCGGGACATTGTCGTTCAAAAAAGGCCTATTTGAACCAAATCAACGACACAGACATAAAATTTGAGGAAGAAGAGGTACAGTTAGGAATTTCTGAACTTAAACCTAATAGGAAGATCCCAAGAGCACAAATTAATGTTACCCTAAATGAAGTACCAACAACCATGGAGTTTGATTCAGGAGCTAGAGCATCGATGATTGATGCACCCCTGTGGAAACAAATAGGATCACCAAATTTGAGGGCATGTAAAACAAAATTTGTCGCTTATGGAAACAATACCCTGGATGTTTTAGGAGAGTGTGAAGTTAATGTTAAAGTTGATGGACAGATTAGGAAACTTAAGGCTGCTGTGGTAAATGGAAACGAATCTCCTTTGTTTGGATTAGGTACCATGGATGCTTGCCTTCAACATGAAATTACCACCTAGTGTTACGATTCGTAAGTTGGATAACACCAATAAGATGAAAATGTTTCTACAGTAACCGAAGAGGAAATTAACCAAGTTATTTCTGAGTTTAGTGATGTATTTAAGAAAGAATTGGGAACCATTAAAGGCTATCAGGCGAAGATACATGTTAAGAGTGACTCAGAGCCTAGGTGTTTTCCTGCTCGCAGAGTGCCTTTTCCACTAAGAAGTAGAGTTGAGCAAGAACTAAACAGACTGGTAAGTGACGGTGTTATAGAAAAGGTAGACCCTTCCAAAACTCCTATCGAATGGGCAACACCAACAGTAAATGTTGAGAAGGAAAATGGCACAATTAGAATATGTGGAGATTTTCGGGTAACCTTAAACCCAAACATTGTTACCCATACAACACTTTTGCCAACTTTTGAGGAACTGACGAATAAAGTATCTCGAGGGAAGCAGTATTCAGTTGTCGACTTGAGAGATGCATATCTCCAAATGGAAGTATCGGAGGAAGACAGAAAATATCTGGTAATATCCACGCACGTTGGATACTATAGATACAAGAGACTACCATTTGGTATAACCTCCAGCCCAGGTATCTTTCAGGAATACATGGAGAAGCTCCTTGAAGGCATACCACAAGTGGGGGTACTTCTAGATGATGTAATCATTACGGGCCGAAACAAAGAAGAACACCTCATGAACTTAAAGGAAGTATTAAAACGAATGAGTAACGCAGGGCTAAAAGCGAAGAAAGAAAAATGTAGATTCATGCAGAATTCAGTCACCTATCTTGGACACATTATCGATGAACAGGGTATCCATCCAACAAAAGAGAAGATCGAAGCAATACAAAAGGCACCTAAACCTACAAATGTCAAACAGCTTAGGTCTTTTTTAGGATCCATAAACTATTATGAAAGGTTTATCCCTAGGTTGCATGCGCTGTGCTCAAGGTTACATCGACTTACTAGCAACAGATCAAAATGGATCTGGACAGAGAAAGAAGATGAAGTATTTACAAAGGTCAAAATGATTCTTTCGGAAGAAGACACAGTTGTTCCATATGATGAATCCAAACCTCTAGTGTTGGTGTGTGATGCGTCCGAAGACGGTCTTGGGAGTGTCTTAATGCACAAGTGTGAAGATGGTCTGGAAAAACCAATCGCGTATGCTAGCAGAACTCTTTCAGATGCTGAGAAAAGATACTCGAATATTGATCGAGAAGCACTTGCAATTTTATTTGCTGTAAGAAAGTTTCACCAATATGTATATGGACGAAGCTTCACACTTGTCACCGATCATAAACCCCTTCAAAGAATATTTGGAGAAACCCGGAATCTTCCAAAGGTAATGAACAATAGGTTAGTGAGATGGGCCCTAGAACTGAATCAGTACAATTTTCAAATCAAGTACAGGAAAGGAGATGAAAACGTTTGTGCTGATGCACTGTCCCGTCTTCCCATGAGAATCAGAGAAGAATCTACCGATGTAAGAGACATAAAGTTTTTAAACATGGATAAAGTTGAGACATTGGTGTCCTATAAGGAACTCAAACATAACAGCAGTTTGGACAAGGAGATAAAATTAGTACAAAGTTATGTGCTAAATTCATGGCCAGAGAAGGTACCAGATAACATTAAAACATTTAAACAGAGGAAAGAAGAATTATCAGTTGAAGATGGTGTTTTGATGTGGTTTGGTAGAGTTGTTGTGCCAACAAATATGAGAAAAAAAATCTTGAGAATTTTGCACTGTGGCCATCCTGGAATTTCAGCTATGAGATCAATTACCAGATACTATGTATGGTGGCCTAACATTGACAAAGACGTTGAAATGCATGTTAAGACTTGTGAAGCATGTCAAGAAAACAGAGGAAACATTGAAGAAGTCCCGGTCTATCCATGGAACATTCCTGAAAAAGTGTGGGAAAGAGTTCATTTGGATTTAGCTGGACCAGTTGATGGAGTAATGTGGTTAGTAGGGATTGACGCGCTATCTAAGTGGGCAGAAGTTGAATGTTTAAAAACAACGACTTCAACTGCCATAATTCAAAGATTAAGATCGTGGATGAGCAGGTATGGGATACCATCACAAGTAGTAACTGACAACGGGCCACAGTTTGTCTCTACTGAAATGGAAGCATTTTTCAAGAGACATTCAATTCGACATATAAGAACTACTCCTTATCATCCTAGAAGTAATGGCTTAGTCGAACGTCTAATAGGGACTTTGAAAAGGCGTTACAGAACAACAAAACAAGAAATTAATGATTCTTCATTGGCATTGCAAAATGTGTTGTTCAGTTACAGAAATGCCCCACAAAAAACAACAGGACGAGCCCCTGCAGAGTTGTTTCTAGGTCGAAGAATGCCAACTATGTTGGACAACATGAAACCAAACCTTAGACAACAATTAGATCTGAAAATTTGGAAGGAACAACAAAACCCAACTCAAAAGAAAACCTTAAGAGCATTCAGTGAAGGGGAAGAAGTATGGATGAAAAAAGAGAATAACCCTGGTTGGATAGCAGGAACAATAGTCAAACGCAATGGCTTATACTCTTATGAAGTCATGTGTGGTGGAGTCATAAAAAGAAAACATTCGGATCAACTGCGAAGAAGAGAAGGTGCGGTGGACGATGAGGAGGGAAAAGTGTAATATATTGGAATCAGCTGATAATTTGGTTTTATGTTTATTATGAAAATGTAAACAAACAATGTTATATTTTGTTCTATGATTAAATGAGTTTAAGTTAGTTCTTGATTTTATTTCAAGAATGATGATAACAGAAGTGTAGGATGGCCACAAATTGCGGAACAGTTTCCTCCCTTATTTTGACATTTCCCAGCAGGCCGCTGCTCATATTTTAAGCATTACATCAGTGTCCGGTTGAAAGTAGGTGTCGTTCACCATTTTTTATTTTTGTACGAAATTTGAAAAACCTCAAGAACATCTGACAGCCATCCCCCTTAATACTTAATTTTGAAGTTCATTAGTATCACATTTGAAATAGATAGAACATTTAATATGATGTTTATCATATTTTTTGAAGATGCTTAGAATAAAGAGTTAAATATTTTAGCAAAGAAAAATAGTTAAATTTTCAGCTACATGGTTAAAACATACTCATATTTAATGTATAGTTATATTTATGTGTTTCATTTGTAATTGAATATTTAAACCAAAATTAACTAAGAATTAACTATTAGATCATTAACTATTGTTAGACTAAGAAGAATCCAGAGGAATAGTTTCTTCTTATGACCACTTACCAGGATAAAAAGGGAATAACAATAATATTTTATAAATATATTTTATATTCAAAACCAAACAAAAACAGCAAAGGTTACTTTCCGTGATGAGAGAATTATCATTAAGTTTAGAATAAAAAAAATTTTCGTCGATTGGCATGCTAAAATGTTTGCTGTTCAGGAGGAACTACACAAACTGCATTTATAGGCGCCTTAAAATAAGAAAATAAATAGCAAAACCTAGAAATAATTAGAACACAGATTAAACCATTGTTGTTCGATAGTGAAAAGTATTGTGAATAACATATCAAAAGTCTCTAAAAATATCTTTGGTCGAACACCACAATTTTTCCAAAATGGCGGCCAAATCCAGTAGTTTTTTGCTTTTTATTGAAATTCTGACTTTCCAGTCAATATTGGAGAAAAGTCGTCAATACATTTAATGTTCCTCCTGAAATTACCTTTAAAATGATACCAAATACATCTACAACAAAAAATAAACCCCGTAGAAATAATAAAATATTTTTTATAAATTAATGTAATAGTCCAAGCAAACTAAAAATAACTTACACAGGGATCGTATAAAAATTTGCAAGTAAACATGTTTTGGTTTTATTTTTATTGTTGTGGTGTGCAGAGTGACATAGCAAAAGTTGCAAATATTTATATTTATATCCAATATGGCAGATCCAATATGGCTGATCCAAGATGGCGGCCCAAAAAGCGTTCCCTGTTGAAATTAAGTACGTACCATCCAATAAATATCGGTCTTGGTTCTAAGTCAATATCTCGAAAAATGTGCAAAAAATCATGTGGTATCTTTTGTTGCAAAATTTGTCCAATATTGGGAAAAGCCGCAATTTTTTCCTTAATTTAGGGGTTTCCCGTGGACAGATTTTTGCAACTTTTGGTATGTCACTCTGCGCACCACAACAATGAAAATAAAACCATAAAATGTTTACTTGCAAATTTTTATACGATCCCTGTGTCTGTTTTTTTTTAGTTTGCTTGGACTATTACATTAGTTTATAACAAATATTTTTATTTGAAATATTTTATTATTTCTACGGGGTTTATTTTTTGTTGTAGGTACATGTATTTGGTATCATTTTAAAGGTAATTTCAGGAGGAACATTAAATGTATTGACGACTTTTCACCAATATTGACTGGAAAGTCAGAATTTCAATAAAAAGCAAAAAATTACTGGATTTGGCCGCCATTTTGGAAAAATGGTGGTGTTCCACCAAAGATATTTTTGGAGACTTTTGATATGTTATTCACAATACTTTTCACTATCGAACAACAATGGTTTCATCTGTGTTCTAATTATTTCTAGGTAAAACCATATATTCAGGGGCCTATTGCTTACTTAAGATTTTTTTACCTTACTCCAGTATTCCAACCAAAGAACACAAAACAGTACGACTTTATTAGGCACGTAATTCGTGTACGATTTAAAATACGTTGGCAACACAAGATCCTACGACAAAGATTAACTGGTGTAGCGTTTCCCATTTTGTTCAACGCTTGGATTTAGTCTAACCTAAAAACGTGTTGTAGAGTGTTCGAAAGACTAATTATTTATATGCTTTAACGAAACTGTAGCAAAAATATAATGTGTAAGCTACACGAATAACTATTAACTCAAACCACACAGCAAAGCATTTTACAAAAGTTTATTGTATTTGACTTAATTTCTAAATGACTATTGTTTAATATTTTTACATTTCCGAAGTATTAATAGAAAGTTCATTTTATTACATTTAATAAAATGCTTTTATTGCATTCATTTTGCATTTCTGCGAAAAATCTCTAATGACGACGATTTAACTCAGGTAACTAGTTGTATGGGATCCTAAGTCAAAAATACTATCAATCACCTTACACATATACGCACAAAGCAGAAACACCACACAATCCAAAATTAAAATAAATGAATAGTTCAACTTGAACTTTTACTGAAATATAACTAATTTGAAATTGGACTCAAAATACACCCGGACCAGGGGTTTCCGAAGAGCAGTTTAAGGACGAAGAAAATAAATATTATTTGTCAGATGGAACATGTTAGAATAGAACATACAGTGATCATTGGGGTGGAATGAACAGCGGGGGTGTGTCCACTGAACCGTATTCTCAACGAACTTACTCAAGATACATATTATATTATTGTGAGAATCTGTGATATATCGTTACTTAATATTTAAAAATATTGTTTTATAAACACTGAAGAAATACTGATACATATCAATCTTCAAAGTACAGAAACTGCTATGTTTAAATCCAAAAGAAACAACTCAAAGATTTTTTTATTTTCTGAAAGGGAACAAGATGATGTTTTAGTACGTAGTTATAAAAATTGGTTGATAAATAGGGTAATAACTAACAGCAACCAATGAATATTGTTTATTGAGTTTGCAAAGAAGATACATTTATTTATGTCACCAAAAGTAAGATTATCATATCGTATACATGACATCACATTAAGATTAACCTTTTAATTAATGCAACTTATTCCTATGGATTCAAGGCATACATTCATAAGATCAACGGGTCTATTTTAAAATCTAAACATCCAGAATTCTACACAGATTGTTCAAAGTCAGGATTCGATGGAAAGCTTTAAGAAAATATCTATAATAAACAGAAGAAATTATCTAAAAAAAAAATAAAAAAATAACAGTGGTATTTAATATCTGTATGGATATATTAGGGATCTAAAACATATAGATAAAGATAAATTAAAGTTTTCCTAAAATACATACTATATCAGTTAAACTCTTAATTCATAACCAAATAACTTGTGTGGACAAAAGAAAGCTAAACTTGAAAGCTTTAGAAGTAAGCAAATTCGGATTTAAAGGTTTGTTAAGTGGTAAACATTTCGGAATGAGTGTTTTACCGTTTAGAAACGTGTAAAGTAAGCATCTGCTAAACATATATTTAGCAATGTTATTTTATTCCTGCCATGATAAGATGTCCCTTAATGTTACGAAAGCAAGGAAGCGATGTGTAGGTAACATCAGTTTATCTTCAACCTCTGATGGAGACCAGAGGAATTATCTTATCTGCCAGGTTATACATCTCGTCCACTGTCTGAAAAATAATTGAATGTCTGTTAGGATATTTAAATAATTTGATTAATAAATTAATAAACATATTTTTCCAATGAGTAAAGATTTTTGCAGCATCTCTCTGTAACGCGGGACACATTTTAATTTAAATTGAAGAACACGGAAAATTATTTGTATATCACAATGTTTCAGGTTTAGAGCTCGAAATATATGCAATAGACATGTCGATAGTAGGTATAGTCTAGAATATAGTTTTTTTTAACTATCCATAGTTTATATGAACATAAGTTATTTTAAAATTCATGATATTATTCCAAGATCTTAGCTTATACCTTTCTGAAGACTGTAAAACAAAGAGAAGGTAAAAAAGTGCTTGACATTTTATTATTATTTATTTATACAGAATCTTCCTAGGTAAACAGTCAAACACCGGGAAATGGTAGAATAAAAAATAACTAAAAAGAATATCAAGAATGATTTTTTGACAAGATTTCAGTGTTCACCAGATACGCCATTTTATACATGCGCATTTTTGTCTTTCAATTAATTGTTCATGAATTTTTTATATAATTAGTCAGTTTTCAGTAGGTAATTTAAGTAAAAAAAACTGTAATGGTGAATCGGACCAACTTATTTATTTTCTAACAACATAGGTTTTTTAGCTGAAAACACGTCAAAATACATACCAATTTTCATAAAGACTGGTTGGAAAAATGCAAAGATAAAAAAAGCTTATGTAAAAATAAATGTTGTTAATGAAGCGATCTCAACAAAATTATTTTCTCTTTATTTAGACCAATGGAACTATTTTCAGAGGTTTGACTGTTTACTTACAGGATACCCTGTACATACATTAAGATAAATATCAGTGTGGATAAAATGTAAAAACTGCTAGTAACTAAGAAAATAGATTGTACTTCTTCAAAATCTGCACGAAAAAAATAATAGTAACGACAAAATAATAATAGTACTATAATGTAGTAGCAATCGTAACCGGAAAGACTAATTAATTTGAGTGAAGTTACTTCGAAATGCATTTGATTGTACACAGTGAAATTAACAACATGGATTTACCAAGAGTATACTACTACAAAGAGAAAATAATTATTAACTTTGTTAATAAACTAAATATTTTCGTTAAAATACTAGTATAAATTATTTAAATTAAGTTCAGCATAAACAAAGTTTTCTGAGTCAGATTATGAACAGGTGGTTTGTCGGATGGTGCTAAAAATAAAAGTATTAATTTAAACACATTTATGAAAAGCTAATGCATGATTTTAGCCTAAACCATCTTGGCTGTTAACGCCACTATAAGTTTTCACAACTAAATGTAGTTATCATCTAAAAATCTAGGGTAAATGTTAAAACTATCTCCTTTAAAATATACTCACCAACAAACATTTTCAAAATTATTACCCACACACTCACCTCCACACTCCTCAGCTGAGTGACCAAAGGACTCTCGTACTTGTTGGGTTGGGCGGATTCCCTCACGACAGCCCCTGCGGCTATCTCCTCTTCCACCTCCCTCAACTTGCGCAGCCTCTCGGCCTCCGCATCGTCCACTTCCACGTCCTCGGCTCTCGTCTTCTGCACCTCACTCTCGATCTCGTCCCCTCCACGGAGCAAGTCGTAGTTGAAGTTTTTCATGAGCCGAGCCATCTTCCGCGCGTTCTCCTGCAATTTCAATTTCGGTACACTGGTGTTGTATCGACCACGCCGATACATCGACATCCAAATAAGGTTTTAATTAGTTTACTTCCTAACCTAACCACTCTTACGTTAGGTTAGGTTAGGTTATAATTATTAGGTGTGTCATTAGGTGTGGTCGGTATAATACAAAATTACCTCAATTTCATTCCAGAAATTGTGTTGCAGTGGTGTCATAATGTAATTGGATATTTTCCCATTATATTTTGCCCTAATTGTAGTTAAATGTAATATTTTGTAGCAGTCTTATGTTGAGTGTATTGTGCATTGAGAGATTTGGCTGTGTTAACTCTGGATTGAGAGTTGTAGAGTATAAATGTTTTTATAGCATGCAGTTATTCGTAGACACTCTGTGTATTGCAAAATTATCTAATAATAAATAAAAAGCTGTTGATTTTTTGCCATTTTGTGTGTTTTACGTAGAATTTTTTAATTTTTTAAAGGGAACGGTCCAAAACCCTGGTCTCGTTACCTAACGTCGATCTTTTTGTTAGATAGCAACATTAATTCATAGCCCAATGACAAATGGCATCTGGGTCTGGAAACGATCTCGCTTGGATTCGAACCAGCAATCTTCAGATTTGAAGGCGAGTATTTGTAATTTTGTATGACATTTGACATTTGTAGCATAGAATAAGCATGTGACATTTTAAACGTTTGATTTGGTTAGTTGGCATTTACATACTAGTATAAACAAATTTGTGGTTAATTTTTTATTCATTTACCATAGTTGTTATGAAGATTTTTGACGTTGTCACACTGAAAATTATAAACAAATTTTTCAGTGTACTGATTCAAGGTTAAAGAAAAAAGGACACTTATGATAAGTAGATAAATAAAACATATGCTACATTCATGGACTTGATTTTGGTTTCCCTAATGTTAACAAGAAGAAGATTAAAGCAAATACATATTATTACTACTGCTTTATGCAATTTTGAGATTTCCATATAACCTTTTTCCTGCGAGCTTCAAGCAATCTGTTGGTTTGCTCTGCTATCCTGAACACCACAGGCTCTGTCTCGTCTCCTTGGGCTCCCATCTGCCAGCGCCGTGCAGCAAGATCCTGGAAATGTCCTAACAATTCAAGCTCTAAAGTAACAATATATTGCATTGCTGGACAGTTAGAAATTCGAAAATCCCGCTTTAATACCGGATTTGTCTGTGATTTTAATTCAAAGCCACTAAAGGGAATTGCTGACTACATTGTTCTATGCTAAAAGCAAAAAGCCTTAAACTATAATATATTTTACATATTATATTAATTTAGTGGATTATCATTACAAAATATTTACCAAGTAAATAAATCACAAATACAAAATTACAAAAAAACATAATATTCCTAAAGTGATGCCACGTTATGAATAATCAAACTATTCATTGGTAGTTGTAAAAAGAATATCTAGAGCGATTATTTAAAATCTACAAATTTATTTGGTAATTTAAATACCTTCCTAAGCTTGTATTCAGTTGTAATTGACATTTGGACTTAATATTACATGTTCTTTTACTTGTACTAAGGATGAACCATTTATTCTTCTCATTAGTACAGGGAGCGGCAAAATGATCTGACGGTTTTCTTTGCCGCCCTGTCGAGCGAATGAGTGGCGTAGGGTGATGGGAATAGGGGCGTTACAAAGCCAACGTGTGAACATTTTTAGTAGCCATGGAGCCGTGGGATAGCTGAGAAACATGTATTTGTAGTAGAAGTGTTTTTAAAAGTGGAAATTCCTGTGTAGCTGTTCAGTACACTTTTCAATATGGGTCCAAGGTGAAAAGTCCCAACTCAAAAAACCAGTTTGCTGTAAGTTGGTAACTTTAGAGCTACTAGTATAGCATTGAAAAAAAGTCAACAGGCTGTCCAATGTCAGCTCGGACACCAGAGAGCGCCGAGAGAGTGAGATACGCTGTGGAAGTTAGTCCTCAGCAGCCTAAACGCAAATAAGCTGCAGCTCTGCACTTGTCTGGCCGCTCAGTAGAAGAGTATTAGAATACCCTCTCCATTTTCATTCATACAAAATGGCAATCGTGCAACTGCAACAGTTGAAGCCCAGTGGTTATGCAAAGCGCATCTCTTTTTCAGAACAAGTAGTGATGACAAAGTTGTCATTATGAGTGACGAATCACACTTTCAATCATGCCACATAGTCTTTCTCACTCTTTAGTTTCACACCACGTAGTCAGATTTTAGTTTCAATGCTGAACTAGTAGCTCTAAAGTTACCCACCTACAGCAAAATGGTGTTTCGAGTTGGGACTTTTCTTCATTGACCCACATTGAAACGTGTACTGAACAGCTACACAGGAATTGTCACTTTTAAAAACACTTCTACTACAAAGTCATGGTGCTCAGCTGTCCCACGGCTCCGTGGCTACTAAAAATGTTCACACGTTGGCTTTGTAACGCCTCTATTCCCACCACCCTACGCCAATCACTCACTTGACAGGGCAGCAAAGAAAACCGTCAGATCATTTTGCCGCTCCCTGTACTATGCAATATAAACAATAATTAATTTGAGACCTGATCATGCTTATTTTTCAACTCATAAAACAAATAATTAAAGCTGTGTGACCTATATGTTACCAAACGAAAAGATACTATCTATTAATTTAATTGCTATTACTTAATAAATAGCATAAAATAAAACATCTCAATAACTGTCTCGTTTTAAATTTTTTACGTATTGAAATATTAAATTAATATAAATTAAAATTATGTACATCGTACTGCACTATTATTTTATGTACATAAAAAAAAAACTTAAAATTTGATTTAGAAAAAGATTTTTCAAAATAAAGGTCAATACTTTTTACCAGTATGTTCTCATGTCATCCTTTGAGATTAAATTAATAATCAGAAGTTCATTGAGAGGTGTGCAAAAATAACTGTACAGTAAAAAACTTTTATTGTAAAATTACCTGATTATGCAAAAACCCCGCAATGGATTTACGATACAAAAAATACATCCACTTCTTACTCAATAAATTAATAAATAATTAAAACAAATTGCTTACTTATTTTATCGATACAACAACTGATTTATAACATAATAACAATTAATCGTTAAAACACGTTGCCAATTAACGTATACATTTAGAAAGCATTACTATGCGTTGTTACAATTGTGCTAAAAATTTCAACCTGAATTTATATTACTTATTCACCTAAGAAAACTAGCTGAAACTTTACTAATGTAATTACTAATTGTATATACTCTCTCTTATATATTTCTACACATAAAGTTATCTAATAGTACCTATTCTAATTTTTGTAAGGAACCCATAGCACTAACCTGTGAGTTGCACCCCTTCTCTGATGGAACTAACCCCGTCCTACCACAGTAGCACGAGCCATCGATTGCACCCTGTCTGGCAGTATCGTTCTTCTTCCCTGAACTGCAGCTGTCGACCTACAGAATATTTCGGCCTACTTTTATACTTCCCAGTAAAATGAGGAGGGTTCCAACCTACCTTTATTTGACGGCAGCACGCAAAGGTTGTGTATTTTTCGGGGAGTTTTCCTGAATCAATTTGAGTTTAAAAACGATTTTTGTAAACAATAATGTAGTTTGACAACATGTTTTATGCAAAAGTTCATAGGCTTGTGTGTCAATATATAATATCTATAGTAAATTATATTGAGTAGTAAAAGGCTTTAGTCTAAGAAGGGTTTCAAGTATTGGTAAGGAATCTATTAAAAGTTTAAGTATTGAACCAAAATAATAGGCTTGGTGACTTTAAATCAAACTATGTCTTGAATACTTTGGAAGTTTAAGATATCGATTTTCATTTAATTTAGTTATGGCTTTTTGTAACAGATTTTTTTGTAGGACTTTATTCAATTGTGACCAAAGGTATGGACAGTAATAAAAAAATGCTACTACTTTACATTTGTGATATTTTCGTTGATTTATTAATTTAATTTGTCTAAACGCTTTCGTAATATTTTCAAAGGATTCATAAGCTATCCCTTAAAATAAAACATCTTAATATTTTCGCAACTTTACATCAACAATTTAACTGTGACATATTGTTGCGCAAAGCTGTTTGTTAAAACAAGGAAATAAAGCATT